GCCACCTGCCCACCTGCACCAGGCTCTGTACCTGCCCATTGAATCTGGACCTGAGTGAAAGCCCTGGTTATGCGGGCAACGGAGTGAAGCAGATCAGGTAAGTTCTGGCCGTGTGCAAGTGCACAGCTCAAGTCCTGAATCTCGGTGGTTTCTTGTGGCCAATTGGCGCGTTTAGTCCCTTTGGAGAGGAATTGCTGCCACTGAATGCAGGAGCAAAGGGGCCATGTGGTGGAAGGTCTGACCCCTGCACAGGCAGGCTGGGTGGTACCTGTTAGAGATGCCAAGTGTTGAGGAAGTCGGCTGCCCCGGCAGGAACAGTCAAGGTTGAAAAGTGTTTCTGGTGGGATGTCTCAGGTACCACTGCCACAGAATTATCATCACTGTGCTCAGTCCCCAGAAGCTGTGAGACCCAGGCTGTGACTGAACCTCCAGATGGCCCCACCCCCCTTTCTCTTTCAATGTGAGCTCCGGGAGGGAAGGGGTTGTCTGCCTTGTTCACTGCTATATCTCCTGTACCTCCATCAGTGAACACCTGGCCTATAGCAAGTGCCAATAGATAGTTTTTAACTACAAGCAGAACTCCTTGAGACAGTAGGAGAGGGCTGTCTGGGATGCATCTAGCATATTGAGGGATTGGGGGTGGGTGGCTGAGGCCTGGGGACTCGGACACTGTACCCAGGGACCCTGGCTCTGAGCATCAGCCAGCATGCTCTAGAGGATGACCCAATCCCCTCTGCCCCCGCCAGCCTGCCCTACTCTGGCCCTGGCCCGGTTGGAAGGCAAAGCTCCTTGGCGTGCCCCCAACCCCCATGGCCTTGGGAGGTGCGCCTCCATGTTTTCCTCCCCTCTTCCCATGACTTCAAGCCCTGGTTGCCACCTCGGGTCAGTCTCCTTGAAGTCCACCACAACCAAAAGCCTCAGTATCCCTCTAAGGATGGGAGAGACCAACCCGAGCAGAAGGTGCAGGAACGGCGAAGCGGAGGAGTTTGAAACTTCCAGCCTCGGGCACCAGAGCCCATACTATAGCTTTTGCATCCACGACTCCTCAAACCTCAAGAAAACTCCTCCCAGACAGACCCAACAGCACAGTGTTGGAGAAACTCAGGAGATCTGGAGAACAGAAAGGAATATGTTCCTAAAGCTCTTCTTTAAATTAGACAACCAATGTCCAGTGAGCTGCAGTCACAATTCTCTGTAGGGTGCTACGAGGCAGGGCAGGGGAAAGGGGACACACCCCAACCCTCCAGACCACCAGGAAACCAAGGCAGGAGGAACAATACGCCGATGTGCAAGCCACACACAGGCCTGCTCAGGGAACAGGTGTGAAGGGGCTGGTCTTGGGCACAGTTTATCTGAGAAGGCTTCTTGCAGGGAGAGTTCAAAGCAGAATTATAAAGGAGGTTAAAAATCGAAAAAGAAACCTCGTTGGCAGGAAGGAAAGCAGAGATGTCATAGTCTCTAAGTTCTGAGGTTTTAAAGTGGGACGCCAGGGTGTCCTAGGCATTCAGGTAGACATTGTCCACCAGGGTAAAGGTCACAGTGAAGGTCAAAGGTCACAGGAGGGGGGAGTGAAGGAGAAAGAGAGGTAAGACATATCTGTTTCCATCTACTTCACCAAAGTCAACGAGTAAGACAATCTAGCTTTGGAAACAACGGTCCAGGTAGGAAAATTAGAGAGAGGAGGGAGGGAAGGAAGGAAGTGGGAAACCCCAGACAAGAGGTGATGGCCAAGGGAAACAAGATTGGAAACAAGATGAGACGGCAATGCCTGGAATAGGCTCCCAGGAGAGGGTGTGGGAAAGAAAGGCATGACCCAGGAGGGAAAGCAGCCTGGAGCATCCTCCACACAGGAAGCTTAATGGGCAAGAGCTGCGGTGACCCCCATTCCCGTGGACGGGCCAACAAAGGCTCTCCCAGCCTTGACCCTTCACAAGCTTCTGTTCCCTGGAAAGCTCTGAAGAGTTTCCTCAGCATGGCTCAGGAAACAAGTGTCCCTTCTGGGAGAAAGATCATCATGCCATGAGTACAGAGAGCAAAGACGATTATTCTTTCCACTGCAGACGCATTCACCACGCCAGCTGGGATCTGGACGCGTTGGCAACCAGGCAAGAGAACTCCTGTGCTCCTCCTGGTCTGTATCAACAAAAGCTATGATTCACGGGTTCCCTGTGGAAAATGAGACTCTGAAGCAATTTCTCGATGGAGGAGAGGCCCGTTCCCTGGCCTCAGCCCCGAGGAGGAAATAGCCCAGAAAACAGACTGCCGCTCCAAGGGCCAAGCTGCTGCTTGAGGCTGGCGAGCGTCTGCCAACCCATCACGTGCACCTCTGAAAGGACCCCTATGTGGAGAGACCACGGAATGGGGCTCTGCTTCTCTCTAGCTCGGCAATGTTGGTCTCCTTCATTTACCAAGTGGGGACTCAGTTTCTTCATCAACAAAACAGAGACGGAATACATTTCAGCTTCTCCCATCCTCCAAAACCACTGCAAGAAGCAAAAAGTCAGCAAGACAAAAGAAGATCTAAGGATTTCTCTGTCTGACTCCGCCCCCACCCCCGCCCCCCGGATGTGAGATGAAGACAAAAGGGAACGAGAAGCCTTGGAGACTCCTTATCAATTTAGATGGATAGGGGCTGGAGGACACAGTCAACAAGACCTACAGGGATCACTATAAACTTCCCTCTTAGAACGGCTTTTGCTTAAAACTGAATCACTTCGCTGTATATCTGAAATATTGTAAATCAACTATACTTCGATTTTTAAAGAATCAAAAAAAAAAGAAAAGAGAACTGCTTTTACTGCATCTCACAGGTTTTGGATCATCATGTTTTCATTTTCATTTGTCTTTAGGTATATTTTAAATATAAATTTATTTTTAATTTTTGGCTGCATTGGGTCTTCGGTGCTGCATGTGAGCTTTCTCTAGTTGCAGCGAGCGGGAGCTACTCTTCCTTGCGGTGTGCAGGCTTCTCATTGCAGTGGCTTCTGTTGGTGTGGAGCATGGGCTCTAGGTGTGCCAGCTTCAGTAGTTGTGGCACACAGGCTCAGGAGTTGTGGCTCCTGGGCTCTAGAGCTCAGGCTCAGTAGCTGTGGTGCACGGGCTTAGTTGCTCCGTGGCATGTGGGATCTTCCTGGACCAGGGCTCAAACCCATGTCCCCTGCATTGGCAGGCAGATTCTTAACCACTGCGCCACCAGGGAAGTCCCATGTCTCTAAGGAATTTTTGATTTCCTCTTTAATTTTTTCCATGATCCATTGATTGCTTAGTAGCATATTGTTTAACCTCCATGTGTTTATGTTCATTGCAGCATTATTTACAATTGCCAAAATATGGAAGCAACCTGAATGTCCATCAACAGATATGGTACATATATGCACTGGAATACTACTCAGCCATAAAAAAGACTGAAATTTTGCCATTTGCAGCAACACGGATAGACTTGGAGGGCATTATGCTAAGTGAAATAAGTCAGAGAGAGAAAGACAAATACTGTATGATATCACTTATACATGGAATCTAAAAAATACAACAAACTAGTGACTATAACAAAAGAAGAAGCAGACTCACAGTTATAGAGAACAAAAACTGGTTACCAGTGAGGAGGGTCAATATAGGGGTAGGGGAGTGGGAGGTCCAAACTATTATTGAGTGTAAGATAGGCCACAAGGATGTATTTTACAGCATGAAGAATATAGCCAATATTTTGTAATAACTGTAAATGGAAGGTAACCTTTTAAAATTGTATAAAATATTTAAAAAAAATTTTTTAAGACTAACAGGGAAAAAAACCCAAAAAACAAAAAGCAAGTCCTCTACTCAGTGTAGCCACTGGGGCTTTTTGATGAAGGATTAAAGGGTCAGGATCCTTGGCCATCTATAGGAAAAGCGGCCAGTCAGGGAGACTTCTGGAATAAGGCGACCTGAAACAGAGCCAAGAGGTGGTGTTTTACCGCGTACCACCTTTTCATAAGTTACTCAGTGTGCTTTCATTTTGTCTTCCCAACAGGACCACAAGCCTGTTATTAAGGAAAAAGAACGTGCATTGTGCTTCTCTCGAATCCCCACAGGACTCGCTCAGGACAGACGCCTTGATAGCACTTCCTTCACACATGCGTGATTATATCAGGAAAGAAGACACAACAAACATTGGCTCAGCATTTACATGTCCTCAGTGTTGCAGAAGCTGTTTTGCCATGAATAATCATCACAAACCCCACTTTACAGACACCCACACCGAGGCCCAGAGAAGTTTCATGACTGGCCCCATGTCTCACCACTAGGAAGCGGCAGGGCCGGGATTCAAACCCATCTTCCCACTCTCTCAACTGCTCTCCACGCAGGCAGAAGACCTGGCCTTGAGGGTCACGTTATACAGGAATGGACAGGACATACATGCGTGCACGGACGCACACACTGACGCCCCAGAATGTCGTGTGTGACCCATGCAATAGAGTTGGCAGCTTCAGAGTAAAATAAAGAGGCAATCAAAATGGCTGGATTCCTGATAAAGGTGAGCGTAGAGCAGGATTTTCAAGATCTGGAGGACTGCTTGAGCTGGGGACGGGGTCGGGAGGGGGGATATTTGCCCAGAAAGTGCTCAGGAATAAGATGCACACCTAAGGGATAGGAAGGAACAGGAAACAGTGAACCGCAGTCACTGGGGTTGACACAAGATGTTTGGACAAGAGGGAGTTGGTCCCAGGCCTAAGAGAGTGGTTTAGAAATGAGGCAGTGTTTTCTGAGTCCATTATAAGATCATGATTAGGACGTGACTGAAAGCTATTTACGTGCTTCTCATTCATCTGCTGATCAAGTTGCGACTAGAAAGGAGTTTCCACATGCGGGAGGGATGTCAGGGAACCAACCAGTGGCTTTTACACTGTTTCCAGAGGGGAGCTGAGTGTGGGCTCAAGGTTGGTGGATGCCAAGGAGATGCCATCAGAGGCCTGCCTGAGCACACCCCGCCCCTCCCAGAGGCCCATAAAAGCCCAGGGGGCAGGGCGCCCCAGCTGCCCTGTCTCTTCCATCCCCCTCCACACGTACCCACATCAGGAGCTCTCCTCACCAGCCTCTCCCAGCCACCATGTCCAGGCAGTCCACTCTCACCTTCCAGACAGGCAGCCGCAGGGGCTTCAGCATGGCCTCAGCCACCACCCTAGCCACCAGCCGCTCTCGCTTCAGCTCCGTCTCTGTGGCCCACTCCCCGGGGTGGGCAGTGGAGGGATGGGAAGGATCAGCGGTGCTGGGACCAGCTGTGGAAGCCTCAGCCTCTACAACCTGGGGGGGACCAAGCGGGTCTCCATCAGTGGGTGCAGCAGCTTCCGAAGTGGCTTTGATGGCAGGGCGAGCAGAGAGATTGAGGTCAGTGGTGGGTTCGGCTATGGGGGCAGAACTGGAGGGGGCTATGGGGGCCCCGGCTTCTCCGTCTGTCCCCCTGGAGGCATCCAAGAGGTCACCATCAACCAGTCTCCTGACTCCCCTCAACCTGCAAATTGACCCCACCATCCAGCGGGTACGGAAAGAAGAGCGGGAGCAGATCCAGACCCTCAATGACAAGTTTGCCTCTTTCATTGACAAGGTGAGCCGGGGGCTGCATCTCGTCCATGCGGTTGGGTTGGCAGGAAGTTTTGGAGAGGCCCCGGCCAGAGCGCAGCAGTCACCCAACGACCTCCCTGTGGGAAAGCGCATCCGCTCGGCAATCCCGGGGGCAGAGGTATTTGCAGGTGGGGCCCCGCAGGACCTGTGGGAATTCCCCCTCATCCTCCTTGGGAGCCATGCCAGCTGGTTCAGTCAACACAGAGGGAAGCGTGAAGCTGTTAAATTCCCTGGGCAAACTAACTTAACCCAGAGCAGGTGTTGTAGAGACACTTACCCCAGGAATGGAGGCCTCCAAGGCCCACCGCACTAGTTCTGTGGAGCCCCAGAGAACATCGGGGTGGCATGATGGGCTTTTCCATTTTGACGTGGAGTTGTCAGTTATATCACTGGCAGATGGGCATACTTTTCCTCTCTCCCGTATTAATTGGGGTGTCTGGCTCTGTCTCCCCAGTTTCTCCAGACTTCACTCTCTTCTTCCCCTATCCAGATGCGGTTCCTGGAGCAGCAGAACGAGGTCCTGGAGACCAAATGGAGCCTGCTGCAGGAGCAGGGCACCAGGACCGTGAGGCAGAGCCTGGAGCCCATCTTCAACACCTACATCAACCTCCAGTGGCAGTTGGACAGCGTCACCACCAAGAGGGGCAGGCTGGGTGCTGAGCTGAGAACCATGCAGGATGTCGTGGAAGATCTCAAAGTCAGGTGAGAGTGGGAGACCCTTAGATCACATGCAGTCATCCCAGAACTCCTCTTTATGAGGACCAGAGGGGTGCGAAGGAGCAGATGCCCGTGTCAGAGAGGTTTGGACTTGCAGTCATTATCTCATGAGAAGAAGACAGCAAAGTATGGGGTAACCAAGGGACCCTCATCTCATGCATCACTATTAACAAGAAGCCTACTCTGTCTGTCTCCATGACTGCCAAGGGACATCTGCGTCATCTCACAAAAGATTCCGACTCTGGAAAGCAATATATTATTTTATAATCGGCTTATTATTTAACTCTGCTGGACATGGGCTCTGTTATTGAGACACCTGCATTTCCAAGATGCACACTAGAGTATAAACCAGTCCATCTGATCCTCCTCAGGGGAGGCAATTTTGACTTGCCATCACCCAGGCTACAGTAGGTGAGGTATCTAACAGAAAGGATGGTCCTCGCCAATCCCTTAGCTGGCTCACCCTTGGTTTCTGAGTTAGAGCAACACCTACTCACTAAAAGCACACTACTTAAATGACTGCCCTGAGGTTCAGTGAAAATATATCAAAATCGACCGGAACAGTGTCCTGAACAAAGTTTACCCCACAGTTCCAGCAGGCACTTGAGGCAGCAAAAATTTTTTTTCTTTTTTGTAAAGCAAGCATCTGCCTTTTTTTTTATTATTTTATTTTTATTTTTGGCTGTGTTGGGTCTTCGTTTCTGTGTGAGGGCTTTCTCTAGTTGTGGCGAGCGGGGGCCACTCTTCATCGCGGTGCGCGGGCCTCTCACTGTCGCAGCCTTTCTTGTTGCAGAGCACAGGCTCCAGACACGCAGGCTCAGTAGTTGTGGCTCACGGGCCTAGTTGCTCCGCGGCATGTGGGATCTTCCCAGATCAGGGCTCGAACCCGTATCCCCTGCATTGGCAGGCAGATTCTCAACCACTGTGCCACCAGGGAAGCCCAGCAAAATTTTTTAAAGATTGGAATTGTGCATCTCTAAGAGGATGGAGTTGCATAAATATGTATTTCTATTCCTATCAGTTGCACGCTCACCTTCTAGTCTTACAAAAGAAAAAAGGGAAAAAGAAACTCTGGCAGAAGAAATTATTCCCCTTTTACAGGGGGAGAAATAGAGGTTAAGTGAATTACCCAAAGTCACACACAGGTCAGCGGAAGAGCTGGGAAGAACTTAAGGTTTCTTAGCTCCTGTTGCACCAGTACAGTCCTCCTCGGTCTGGGAAGAGTTCAATCAAACACTCACTCATAAATGCTGGAGAGGGTGTGGAGAAAAGGGAACACCCTTGCACTGTTGGTGGGAATGCAAATAGATACAGCCACTATGGAGAACAGTATGGAGGTTCCTTAAAAAACTAAAAATAGAATTACCATATGACCCAGCAACCCCACTACTGGGCATAAAACCTGAGAAAACCATAATTCAAAAGGAGTCATGTACCAAAATGTTCATTGCAGCTCTATTTACAATAGCCAGGACATGGAAGCAACCTAAGTGTCCATCAACAGATGAATGGATAAAGAAGATGTGGCACATATATACAATGGAATATTACTCAGCCATAAGAAGAAATGAAATTGAGTTATTTGTAGTGAGGTGGATAGACCTAGAGTCTGTCATACAGAGGGAAGTAAGTCAGAAAGAGGGAAAAAATACCGTATGCTAACACAGGTATATGGAATCTAAGAAAAAAAAAGGTTATGAAGAACCTAGGGGTAACACGGGAATAAAGACACAGACCTACTAGAGAATGGACTTGAGGATATGGGGAGGGGGAAGGGTAAGCTGTGACAAAGTGAGAGAGTGGCATGGACATATATACACTACCAAACGTAAAATAGATAGCTAGTGGGAAGCAGCCACATAGAACAGGGAGATCAACTCGGTGCTTTGTGACCACCTAGAGGGGTGGGATAGGGAGGGTGGGAGGGAGGGAGATGCAAGAGGGAAGAGATATGGGAACATATGTATATGTATAACTGATTCACTTTGTTATAAAGCAGAAACTAACACACCATTGTAAAGCAATTATACTCCAATAAAGATGTTAAAAAATAAAACAAAAAATAACCCTTACTCACAAGCATGCCCTCTCTCCTCTGTGCTTACGGGGACGAGGATGAAGTTAACAAGCACACGGCTGCTGAGAATGAGTTTGCGGCTCTGAAGAAAGTGGTTGGGAATGTCTCTCAAAGGAGAAAATTCAAAACCAAATCCTGGAGTGTGGGGTGATGGACCCTTAGGCCGCCCAAGAAAAGTGACTTCAACCTTGAGAATATCTGGATAGCTCAAACCTGCCAAAATCCTCCCTCTGTATTTATGGCCCCAATGACCCTGCTTGGGTTTCGGTTAGCCCAGGAGATTCGAGCCTGCAGTTCCCAGCAATCACCCACCCTCAACCCCAAACCCCAGATACAGAGTTTGCTAAAATCCAAACTGTAAGGGCCATGGAGGAAGAGTCTGCCCAGCTTCTTTTGGACTTGCTACCTGGTGCCAAGGTCTCAGAAGAGCATTCTGTGCCGTCTTTCCAGGACTTGGATGCCCCCTACATGAACAAGGTGGACCTGGAGGCCAAGGTCAACTCTCTGACCAAAGGGACAAATTTCCTCTGGTTGCTCTTTGAGGCAGTAAGAGCCTGCAAGTGTGTTTGTCCCTCCTATGTCTGGACCCTGAAAAGAAAAGGATGTGGCAGGGTGTTATCCATATAGTGCCTCTACCCGGGATGGAGGGCTTAGGAGGTCATGGGTATTGGGAAGAACTGCTTGAAATCCTGCCACGTTCAACCCCACCCCACCTCTGAGGCTTCTGCCCCCAACCCCATGGCCTAGCAAGGAGGGAGTGCTGATTCCTAAAATCCCATGTCGTTGGGTAACATTTCCAAGGAATTAAGACCCACCTCTCCCTTCCCCATCCCAGAAAGTTCATAAGGCAAGCTGCCCCTCAGCCCTTTGGTCAGGGTGTTTCTTGGCCCCTGAAGATGCCTCTTTCTGGGCACTGCCACTCTGATGGCAGAGACCTGGGTCTGTGGAAGGGGAGAGAGGGGTAGAGAGTGATGAATTCACACTGTGCAGGGGGAGGGGAGCAGGGTCCGAAAAATCACCCAATCCCGAAGAAACCTTTAATGTTGGCATATGAATCACATAAGTCGTATTCAACCTGATATAATTTGGATTCAGAGAACACTTACTCATCCTTCATACTCAGGGAAAATACACAGAAGGAAGCCCTGAGAAGAGATGCTGAGGACACACTCCCATCACACTGATCTATGACCCAGAAACTCCTCAGAGGTTGACATGGGACCTCCCCCTCCATCAAATGCCTGGCATAAGAAGAGCTGGGAAATCCCTGCCGGGGTTGCCAAAGGATTCCTGACTTAGATGGGAGGTCAACTGCATGATTTCGAGACCCCTTCTTTTTTTGCTGTAGTGATGCTGAGTTAACTGGCTCTGCAGGAGCTGTCCCAGATGCAGACCCGGGTCAGCGACACATCGGTGGTCCTGTCCATGGACCACAACTGCAGCCTGGACCTGGATGGCATCATCGCCGAGGTCAAAGCCCAGTACGAGGACATCGCCAACCGCAGCCGGGCTGATGCTGTGTCCTGGTACCAGACCAAGGTGAGCGTGGGCACCTCCGTGATAGGCTCCAGGGCTAGTGTTCTCTGAAGCCCCAAATCATTGTTTAACTGCTAGCCACAAGCCTGAGGAATCATGTGAGCATTCAACTTGGCAGGAGCCAAGTTGAAAACTATGAAAACTAAGCTTGAAATGCATGTGGAAACCCTAATACACACACACTGATATGTGGTCAAGAAATGCTGGGTGCTCAAAAGGACAGTCACAGTCCCCACACCACTTACAACTGGTTGGGGGTTGGATGAGACTCAACCAACCAAGAAACGGTCATAAAACTATTTCTAAAGGGCTTGTTTATTTACGGAGCTCCTACTATATGACAAGCAGGGTTACAAAGCTGTAAATGAATGAGCTGCAAAAGGAATCCAAGGTCTGGGAGGCCATGAAGTGAATGAACAGTCACAGAAAGGAAAAAGCACTAATAAAACACTTCCAAGAAGGGTGGGTTTTCAGTCTGTGTTGGAAGCAATGAGAGGAAAAGATTGCCAAGGAGCAGGGAGGGGTTCAAGGCTGAGCAAGCGGTCCCGTGGGGCTGCAAGGCAGAAATGAACATTGCTGAACAAAAGAGTTTGTACTGGGAAGAGGGAGGTTGGAATAACCACGGAGAGCTACTATCCAAAGACGCAGATGGCCAGAAGGTTTGGCTTTGGAGGGGTGTAGTAGCGTGGATGGTCCAACCCGTGAGATCAGTTCTCTGCCAAATGCAGGTGCTTTTCTGGGGCAGCTGCTCACCTACAAACTGGCTCCCATCCCTTGCCCTGATCTGGGCATGGACTTAGTCCGTACCACTGCAACGTGGTAGAAAGGAAGCAGGGTGTCAGGTGCCAGGGGTGCAAGGGCGAGGCAGCCCCTTGGTGGTAAGTGGAGGTGGGATGCACTTAACTCCAGGTGGGATGGTTGAAATGTATAGCGAACGATTCCCTTTGCTGGCAAGGCTGCTGTTCCCTTTAACTGTGTGTGTCTAGAAACGAAGAAGGTGAACTATTCAGCACTTTCAAAACTGGACAGATCTTCACTCAGGCAGGGGCTCTTCTTCTGTTGGGCAAGGGCGTGGGTTTTCTTCAGGCTGCTGGAGGACATAGGGTGCATTTATTTCTCCTAAATGAGTGTGTCCTGGATACGCACTATTAGACAGAGAGCCACCTGAGATGGAGGATTCTGTTACAAAGTCTTCAGAACGGGGTACTCTACAGTCTGGACACCGTCCAACACCGTTCCCCTGCATCTCCTCCCTGTTTCCCCAACACCTGTGTCAGGAGGGCCACCAAAATTCATGGTCACAGTTGGTCTGGACGTATGCCCCGTGACCAAGAACCACCCCCCCAAGGACAATGCCAAGTCACCTGTTACTCCTAGAGCTCTGCGTGCGCTTTCCTATCCCAGGGTGTTCGCACACAGGCTGTTTCCCGGTCTGGAATATTCTCCCCCAAGCCGGTCACTTAAGTCAATCCTTCCCAGCCTTCAGTGCCCGGCTCAAGTATCCCCATCTCTTGAAGGACTTCCCTGCCCATCCCCCCAGCCACTTCCATATCCAGGTCAGATTCCTTTATCACACCCCCATAAGCCACTGTTCAATTCCTAAGGGACTCATCTCAGTTTGGAACCATAAACTCGATAATATGCTGGTTTGATTGTTGCCAGAAAACTGTAGGCAGGGCTCTGATTATGCTCTTCATGATATTCCCAGAGCCCAGGACACACCTGGCGAGTAGATGTGCTCAAGAAACAAGCGGGGGGATGTGCGAACGATCAGTGAACGGATGGGCCCGCTCAGGGCACCGAGGGCCGGGCTGGGTGCACAGGCAGTGCCCTTGCCAGTGTTTGGTGGAGTGGCTGACTCTACTCTGGTGGCATCAGTACGAGGAGCTGCAGGTCACGGCAGGCCGGCCCAGCGATGATCTCCGCAACACCAAACGAGAGATCTCTGAGACGAACCGGATGATCCAGAGGCTGAGAGCCGAGATCGACAACGTCAAGATGCAGGTACATTCTGGCAGGGCCCAGAGCTCCCCACACACTCATTTCTTCCGGGTCATTCTGCCACTCTTACAGGACTCCTACCCAAGAAGCACCAGATCTCCAGAGGTTAGCAGTAAGGCTCACGGCTTCCTCCTTTCCTTACAGTGTGCCAGCCTGCACACAGCCATCGCCGACGCGGAACAGCACAGAGAACTGGCCCTCAAGGATGCATGGGCCAAGCTGGTGGACCTGGAGGAGGCCCTGCAGAAGGCCAAGCGGGACATGGCACAGCTGCTGCATGAGTACAGGAGCTCATGAACATCAAGCTGGCCTTGGACATGGAGATCGCCACTTACAGGAAGCTGCTGGAGGGCGAGGAGTGCAAGTGAGGGCAGATGCACCAACTCCATCCCAGCTGCCTGGGCATTCCTAGGGGCTCAGGTGCTGCAGGCCCCTCCTTGCCTGGAAAAGGGAGCAAAACGCAGGTGGAATTGGACTATGACAAAGAATACAGGTGCAATTTCTTTCCAGGGAAATCATGAGCAGATTCCCACATTTGAGGTGTAACTACTTTTAGCACCCCATAGAAATTTAGGAGCTGATTGGATCTCCGTAATCAACTTCTATCAAAGGAGAAAGTTGGTTACACGGTGGGTCTGGATATGTGGTATGAACTGAGAATAAATTGTCCTAGGATTTGGGCTGACAGGTCTACCACTAACTAGCTATGTAAGCTTAGGAAACTCAGCATCCCCTCCCCTGCCCAGCCCCAGCCTTCAATTTCTTTAGTGATGGAATAAAGAGGCCAGGTCACATGATCCCCAAAGCCCCATGGGAGCTTTGTGCTCGCCAGTTACCAGCTGTGTGACCAAGGGCCAATTACTTCATCTCTCCAGTCCTCACCTGTAAAATGGGGATAACCACAGTTTCTATCTTATATGTTATTAAGGGGGCCAAAGTGAGGGACTATATATGAAGCTCTTAGAACAATGCATGGGACACAGCAAATGGTCAATAAATGTTAGCTATCTTTCAGTTTAATGGCCAAAGATATGCGCTCTGGAGTCAAATGAATCTGACCTCAAATCCAGCTTTGTGATCATGGGCAAGTTAATTAACCTCTCTGATCTTCAATTTCGCCATCTGTAAAACTGAGATAATAAAACCTACTTAATGGGGTGTTGAGAGAATTAAGTGGCATAATGTAGGTAGTAGGTAGGTAGCCCTTTTTAATGTTCTGTCTGTGTTTATAATGAATGCCACTTCTGTCCTCAAGATGCTAAAGCAAAACTACTCTACTTGCTACAACAATGATAGACTTACTATTGTTATCGTTACACTTATGACTCAGACTCCTCTCCACACCTGTAATAGCCTCAGTGCCTGACAAGAGTCCATTATTGAAAGAGAGCTCTTCTTGTTCTATGACAGCCCTACCTTTCCAGCTGACAGTAGCATATGATTAGCTTTAATTTTCTTAGGGTGTCTACCTCATTTACACCAAAAAATGTGTTTCTGAGATTACAGGTTTGACTCCTATGAACCCCAAACTCTGCATTATTTCATTCATTAGATTATTATTTTTAATACTACTAGTATTTAAATAATTTCAACCTCCATTACTTCTGCAATAAAAAATAATTCAGGTTTTTCTAAATACATTTAAAACAATTGCAAAAACGTCGCTTCCAATGGCTGTAAGCTGCTGGACACCACAGTAACCTTCCTTCTCCCCCCTCCCCCCCAATCAGGCCGAGTGGAGAGGGTGTTTCTCCAGTTAACATCTGTGAGTATGACATCCTCTTGTATCGTTTGGAGTGTATGTGGCTGGGGTCTGGGGAGCTGGTGGGCATGCTGGAGGGTGGCAGGGATACATGGGGCATTGGAGGGGATCCCACCTATAGGGGGTTCATTTTGAGAAGGTTTGAGGTTCTGAGTTCGTTAAAAAGAGCTGTATTAGGAGGATCTTTAAAGTCACCATTCTTACCTCTTTGCAAGTGAGAGAGGGGCCACAGAGGGGGCAATGGGAGGTTTGATGTAATCCTTCTGCATGGGTTTGGAAGAGCCACCCGCTGCGCCTCCCACCTCCCCAAATTCCACACCTTTCTTTTTTTTTTAACATCTTTATTAGAGTATAAATGCTTTACAATGTTGTGTTAGTTTCTGCTGTACAAAAAAGTGAATCAGCTATATGTACACATATATCCCCATATCCCATCCCTCTTGCGTTTCCCTCCCAGCCTCCCTAACCCACCCTTCTGAGTGGTCACAAACCACTGAGCTGATCTCCCTGTGAGATGCAACTGCTTCCCACTAGCTATCTGTTTTACATTTGGTAGTGTATATATGTCATTGCTACTCTCTCATTTCGTCCCAGCTTACCCTTCCCCCTCCCCTTGTCCTCAAGTCCATTCTCTACGTCTGCGTCTTTATTCCTGTCCTGCCCCTAGGTTTGTCAGAAACTTTTTTTTTTTTAGATTCCATACATATGTGTTAACATATGGTATTTGTTTTCTCTTTCTGACTTACTTCACTCTGTATGACAGACTCTAAGTCTATCCACCTCACTATAAATAACTCAGTTTCGTTTCTTTTTATGGCTGAGTAATGTTCCATTACATATATGTGCCACATCTTCTTTATCCATTCATCTGTCGATGGACACTTAGTTTCCTTCCATGTTCTGGCCATTGTAAATAGAGCGGCAGTGAACATTGGGGTACATGACTCTTTTTTTTTTTTTTTTTTTTTGCGGTACACGGGCCTCTCACTGTTGTGGCCTCTCCCGTTGCGGAGCACAGGCTCCAGACGCACAGGCTCAGCGGCCATGGCTCACGGGCCCAGCCGCTCCGCGGCATGTGGGATCTTCCCAGACCGGGGCGTGAACCCGTGTCCCCTGCATCGGCAGGCGGACTCTCAACCACTGCGCCACCAGGGAAGCCCAGGACTTTTGATTTTAAAAGTGGGGCAATAGGAGAAGGATGAGACCAGATGGTATTTTAACAATAATAGCAAATACACAGTACCCTGTGCCAGGCGTAGGCGTGGTGCTTTGCAGACGTTAACTAGTGTGATATTTGTAACACAGCAGCTCTGTGAGGCAGGACCAGTGTTATCCTCATTCTACAGATGATGAAACTGAGGCCCAGAGAGGCCCAGTCACTTACTCAAAGTCACATGGCTAGCACAAGACAGAGCTGGGGTTGAAACCCAGGCGGCAGGCTCAGTGTCCTGAGCCTGCGCAGCGCCAGAGTTATGCTGGAAAACGGAAGGACAGGCATTAGGAAGCATGGGGAAGCTTTAAATGCATCGATGTCACTCATCAAAGTGAGTCATTCGGCCAGACTAAATCCCTGACCCTGATTCCGTTGCCTTCGGGGGCAGTGAGTGGGTGAGGAGCTCCCTTGGAGCCTAGAGGAAATAGGCGGGCTGTCTCTGAGGATCTGGTAGAGTGAGTAATTGCTGTCTCTGCAAGTGAGCTGCAGGCAGAGGCCAGGCTCAGAACTCTCTTGGTGAGGAGGGGCTCGGGGTCAGCTGGGATTTCAGTGACTACAGCCAACTCTCAGAACAACTCAGAAAAGACAGCTGCGCCAGCAGCAGGCAGCCAACTCTTCACTGCCCTCCAAGAGGGAACGCCTAGATGACGTAAGCTTCCTCAGCAGCAAGATAGAATAAAGGTAGCTTTAAGAAGGACTTCCCAGAGAATGATTCGACACAGGAACAGGCTACTGGGCAGTGGCATGGAAGGTAAACTTGCTAATGAGAAGCAATGATAAAAGTCATCTGTGTTGAGTGGATGGAGGAGCCAGACGTGTCCAGAGATGGGGCTGGACCTGGTGCCTCCCTAGGGCATTCAGTCGGTGAGACACGGATTTGCCCCCAGAGGCTCCTACCCTCAGGCCTGATACCAACTCCCTTCCAAACCCCACAAGCCCAACTAAAACATTTTCCCCTGCCCATTCCGCCAGATATGAAGAGGAGCTCTCCCTGCAGCCCTCTGCTGAGAATGAGTTTGTTGCCTTGAAGAAGGTGAGGGAGGATGGCCCAGGGAGGGAGAAGGCCCCCTGAGCTGGCCCACTGGGCCTGGGGACACTCAGCCCCTGGACCGTGTCCGAATGTGCCTGCAGCCCGCCCACACCGCAGACCCTGGGAGAGAGGAAGGCCAGCCTCCCCCGCCCCTTGCAGAAGGACAGGGACTGACCTGGCCTCCACCTCCCAACTCATGTTAAGGGTTGTATTTACACCTGCCCAAGAAGCTGGAGATGTTGCAAATGCCAAATCAAAGCCAAAACAAAGACTCTGACTCAAACTCCCAGAGACGAAAATCATCTTGTTGATCCCTCACATAGATAGCGATGTATTTTCTGGCCTGAGGTCCATAGGGAGTTCTGAGGAACGCATTCAAGGCTCCTTTAACCCCATTGTCTTCAGATGCTTCCCCATCAGAATGCCAGGCCCAGGCATGGGGTCCTGGGGCTGGGGACCCCTCACTCCATCCGTGGCTTTGTCACCCCTTCCCTTCCACATAGGCCTAAGTGAGGAAAGGTGGGTCCCACACCCGCCACCTGCCACCACCTTGCCTGGTGGCCCAGCTGGCAGAGGGGTGGCCCCAGGTTACGACTGTCACTTCTCTGGCCGCAGGATATGGACACAGCCTTCCTGATAAAGGCTGACCTGGGACCAATGTGGAGGTTCTGGTCCAGGAGATCGACTTCCTGAAAAGCTTATATGAGGAGGTACCTGCAGCCATGCTGCCCACAGGTGGTCAGCCAGGGGCCAATCTCCCAGGGTCCCCACACCCAGGAGATCAGCCTGCTGCAGTCTCAGATCTCAGAGACCTCCATCATTGTGAAGGTGGACAAAAGCCAGGAGCTGCAGGCGGGCGGCATCGTTTCCCAGATCGAAGCCCAGTACGACAAAATCGCCAGCCGCAGCAAAGCGCAAGCAGAGGCCTGGTACCAGAGCCGGGGGAGGCCCAGGCGGGGCCCGGGGGACCCCAGGCCCACTATCCCCCAGGAAGCGGGTGAGGAGAGACTGAGGGCCATGCCACACCCAGGCCCTGGTGTGGCAAGGAATGCTAACTGGCAAGGAATGCTAATTGGCAATGATGACAAAGAGGACTCTGGGCTTCCGGGCATGGGAGGAGGCTAATGGCATGGGGTGGTTACTAATAGTGGAGCAGAAACCGTGATTCAGGTGGCCCCAGACTTAGGTAATTTAGGGCCTTGCTGGGAGGGCAGTTGGTGTCCCTGAGGGCAATTTGATTTAACAAATATTATCATCTCGGTCTTGCCCACCCTATCTGTGAAAGGCACCATTATTATTCACTCACTCATTCCTTCATTCATTCATTGAGCATCCGTCGTTTGCCAACCACCGTTCTAGGTGCTGGAGGTCCAGCAGGGAACAGCACAAACAATCCCTGCCTTCGTGTCACTTTCATTCCAGAGGCAGGGGCAGGGGCGGGACAGGCAAGACGAATAAGTACAGTGGATGTATGTTAGATGGACACGTGCTACGGAGAAAATAAATCAGGGGGAAGCGTAGGGAGTGTGGTGCAAATACGGGTTGCAACAGGGTGGCCAGGGAAGGAGGGCCTTACTGGGGTGTGTGGAACCATGAGGATACTAAGAGTCACAGCATCCCCATCCTCAAGGAAATTACAGTCCATGGGAGAGAAACGTGGAACCAGCCAAACTGAGATACGAGGTAGCATGAAGTGACCGCTAAGGTCAAGCTGCAGGCCAAGGGAATAGGATGATGATGCAAGTAACAAATTGTGTCTGGAAAGGCGGAGGCACTGGGGTGTGGTCGGGATCTCGAAGGCCAAGTATGATTTCCATAAGCATGGGGGAAAGGACGTCTGGCTGAGGTGAGGCATGAAAGGAAGCACCATGAAAGAAATGCAGCTGGAGACACAGGGCCAGATCACAGCAGAGCTGCAGAGCTGCACTGAGGCCTTTGGACTTTTTTCTGAAGGCAATGGGCACCAATCTCCAGGGAGTGTCCCAAGCAATGCTCTACCCTTTTTCTGGAGATCCATGGTGATCAAGGTATCAAACCCCGGCCTGGCGTCAGTTCCCTGTGACTCAGTCTGTGGCTCACCCACGGCCAGGTTTTGCTCCGGCTGGCCCCTCCTCCAGTTGCTCTCCCGGGCCATCCATCAGTCAGGTGGGCTCAGGAAAAATAACCACAGTTTCCCATCCTCCTAAGTTAGAACCAGAAAGATAACTCTATTATTTAAAAATTGTATTTAGCCGTGAGGATCAGAAATCAATAATAATAATGACAGTTGAAACAAATCTGATTTTTACTTTTTTCTCAAATAATTTGAAAGTAAAGAAGTAGACTGCCCACAGATGACTCTGGGGTTCTATGTTACCATCAGGAACACAGGCTCCTTCTAGCTTTCTATTCTGTCATTCTTAGCATAGTGCTTTAATCCTCATGGTTGCCCCATGTCCCAAGATGGCTGCAATACCACCAATCTCACATGTTCATTCCAAGCAGGCAGAAGAAGAGAGGGCAAAAGGAACATGACAACTGAATCATCTCTGACTTTAAACAGCTTTCCTAGAAGCCCTACCCAGCAACGGCCGTGCACCTCGTTGATGAGAAAGCTGAGAAATATTCTCTTATCTGGGCTTCTGTTTGAAGAAGAGGAGAATGGGTATTGATTGGGCAACTACAGGCTTTTTCACAATAACCAAAGAGAGTGACTTGTGTTTATCTTGTTTTGCATTTTCTATGCAAAACGCTCCCATCCATTATGTGCAGAAAATACAAATTGGCTAAATGTTTAATCTATTAAGGTAATCTATAACACACTATTCAGAAATTAGATTCAATGTACAAAAGTTTAATAAAAAAGTGTTAAACCAAGATAGGAAATAATATTGCATTTTGTTTTCAATTGTTTTGAAGGAGAATATACAAACATATTCACCCTGGCGGGGACAGCTGTGCTGTGTCCTCAGTCCTTGGTCGGTTAGGTACCCCAGGCTGAGCACAGAATCTCTTTCCAAGGTCCAGAGCAGGGATGGAGAAAAAAAGGAGGGAAATCCCAGGGCGGAGAGAAAAGGACAAGACACAGAATCACTAAACAGGGAGGAGGGGAGTTTGGAGCTTAGAGGAGAACTTAATAAGCCTAAAGATTCAGGGCTGGAATATGAGAAAGGAATAAGGAATAGCCCAGAAAAGGACCAGAAATGGATAGGGGATGGGGAACAGAACAAGTATAAGAATCCAAAAGCACCTGACCCAGGAAGTTAGGAGAGGAGACACGGGGGACAGTGGGGAAGGGGGCTGGGAGGGACAACAGTGTGGGTGCCCAGGTTCTGACCTCCCTGTGTGGTAGTATGAGGAGCTGCGGCTGACAGCCGGGACCCACTGTGACAACCTCCACAACTGCAAGAACGAGATTCTGGAAATAAACAAGCTGATTCAGTGGTTGCAGCAAGACATTGAGAATGTCAAAGCCCAGATGAGGCCATCACAGGGTAACCCGCCATCTGGTCTTGGTCGCGATGGGGGGGTCCATCCTCCCTGGGGGCCCAGTTGAGGAGGGAATAAAATTGCGCTGTTTCCCACGAGAGGGAGCGAGCCCTTTCTACAGGAGAGCTGACCCACAGCAGGATGAGCAGGCTCAGGAAACAGTGAGGCCCCCAACAGAGGCTAGGCAACCTACTGCATCAAGATGGAATAGCAAGGATTCTTCACTAGATGGGAGTATAGAAAAGATGTTCTCCAAGGCCCCTTCCAACCAAAGACTCTAATTCTATGATCCTGAAATTCAAGGTGACCCCGCAGAGTTCATAAACTCAGACTCACTCTCTTCTCCTAGGCTAGTGAAGACCAGGCAGACACTTAAAATCTATTAGTCACAAAGAAATTGTTTGGCTTATCTAGAGGAAACTCACAGATCTCCTTGAGGTGTTATAGACAAGAGAACTGGTCCCCATCCCCCAGAGGAACCAGATGTCGCAATCCTAGGATGAAACCTACAGCAGATTTGAATCTGACACATAACCATGACTGTAGGAAAAACTCACTCTTCCTCCTGTGTCCCTCCCTTACCCTCCCACTATCACATTCACAGCACTTTCTGATACCAGATATGGGGGAAGGGTGTTTCCATACTAACCAGTTCTGCAACACCAGCTGGGTGTTCTACAACTAACACACTTCTGACACTACCTACCTGGAGATAGCATCAGTTCCCACAGGTTAGGGACTGCCCCCCAAGTCCCACAAGGCTGCCCCCAGTTCAGATGCTAATCACAAGTCCAGGTTGTGTTTCTGACCAATCGGCTATATATTGGAGGTCTCCATGACCCCCCTCCTCAGGTTCGATTAATTTGCTGGAGTTGCTCACAGAACTCAGGAAAATAGATTCTTTTACATCTACTGCTTTATTATAAAAGCATATGATGAGGGATACGGATGAACACCCAGGTGGAAGAGAGGGATAAGGCAAGGTATGTGGGAGGGGCGTGGAGCTTCCATGCCCTCTCCAGGCGTGCCATTCTCTCCACACCTCCGCCTGGTCACCAGCCTGGAGGCTCTCTGAATCCTCTACTGTTGGGATTTTATGGAGGCTTCCTCTCCTAGGCATGATCAATTATTACCTCCGTTCCCAGCCTCTCTCCCCTCTCGGGAGATTTGCAGGGTGGGCTGAAAATTCCCAGCTTCTAATCATGGCTTGGTCTTTCTGGTGACCAGCTCCCATCCAGGAGCCTACCTAGAGTCACCTTCATTAAACAAAAGACATTGCCAATACCCAGGAAATTCTAAGGGGTTTAGGGACTCTGTGTCAGAAACCAGGGTCAAAGACCAAACGTTAGAACAAAGGATGATCTTAGTGTGCTTATCACTTAGGAAATTACAAGGTTTGGGGGCGTTCTGTCCAGAAACTGGGGGAAGAGACCCATATATATATTGTTTCTAATTGCCTCACAACGACCGTGTTCTCTGTTCTCCAGGGCGCCCCGTAATGCCTTTCTGTGCCCTCTCCTCCCAGCGCTGCAAACTGGAGGGTGCGCCATGCCCAAAGCGGAGCAGCAGGGGGAGGCGGCCCTCAACGACGCCAAGTGCAAGCTGGCTGGGCTGGAGGAGGCCCTGCAGAAGACCAGGCAGGACATGGCCTGCCTGCTCAAGGAGTTCCAGGAGGTGATGAACTCCAAGCTGGGCCTGGACATCGAGATCGCCACCTACAGGCGCCTGCTGGAGGGCAAGGGGCACATGTCAGTCAAGGATGGGCACCAGGTATGTCTGTTCTCCTGCCCTCTGCTTGCTGTTGCTGCCGTTGCCCATCCCACAGTCGTGGAAAATCTAAAACAGCACGCAGACCACAGGCCCTCCTCGCTGACAGGGTCCATGGGGCAGGCAGAAGCGGTGGGGTGCCGCGTGCCTCTTGGCCTCATTCTCTGATGCAGTTCCCTTGTGTCTCCTTTGCCTCCCACCCCCAGGCTGCATGAAGGTGTTGGGCCCGTGAATATCTGTGAGTAGATGAGCCCTCCCCAGCGGTTCTGGGGTCTTGGGAGCTGATCGACCCATAATAGACCACACTGGCCCCTGCCCAAACCTCAGCGTGCTTCCCCCACCCCAAAGGAAGAGTTCTGTTTGCCTGGAGCTCCTGGGAGATGGAAAGGCTCTCCCTCAGAGCTACCCAAGTCTATGGGAGTGAGAATCAGGGGCAGACATGCAGCGTGGTCCCAGTGCTTCAGGGCCCAGAAGCTGCAAGGAACCATATAGACAAGGGGATGCTTTTCTGGAGAAAGAGGATTTGAGGCAGGCTCAGATAAATAGAAACAGAGAGGGTGAAGCAGAAGATAGGGCTCTGGGGCAAGAGGAGAGACACGTGGGGAACTGCTAAGCACTTTATGTGGCCAGAGTGAGAGACATGGAAGTTGGTAGTTGGGATGGGAATGTCCTTAGAAGGGAGCTGCAGCAGGTGGGGGCCTGGCCTGGCCGAGATGTTTCAGGGCAGGGCCCTGAGTATCCTTTCCTGTTCCTGCAGCTGTGAACAGCTCCAAAGGCACATCCTCTAGGAGCCAAGTGTGGTCAGCACACCCGTGTACTGTCCAGGGGACACCAGCGTCCTCAAGAGCAGCGGGGGCTGCAGCATCATGGGTACGGTGAAATCTACATCCCCTGTGAGCCCCGGGGGCTACTGGGCTGTGGAAGCAGGTGGAGCTCCAGCATGAAGCTAGGGGCTGGGGGTGGCTCCTCCTGCCACAAGTGTTAGTACAGCCCCAGAGGCTAGAAGCCCAGGGGACGGGGCACCAGCCCCCAGCCTGGATGTTGTCCCCCTGCCACCAGGGTTGAAGACAAGGCTGTTCCAAAATCCCACCTTCCTATACTGATCGAAGTTTTCCCTTGGGTTTTCTCCGTGAGCCGCCCGTCAGGTATCTTCAAGAGTCACCTTTCACTTAGCTGCGTGCAGACCCTGCGCTAGGTCCCGGGGTGGGGGTGGGATGCAAAGAACGAAAATGCATCCGCCGTATATCTGGACCACGGACAGTCAGGCTCTAGTGCGGCCAAGAGAATGGCAATGGCCCCCAAACACTTCTCTTCCCCATGAGAAGGCCAAATGGGCACATCACAGCTCTGCTTTGTGGATCGTCCCATGGAACTTTCCCCACAAAGCCAGCCTCCCCCGACCCCGGGACATTCCCCTCCTCTCTTACCTCGGTCTGTCATGCGCCTAAAAAGTGAACTCCTTTTAACACCCACCTAATACACGTACTATTACAAATATCAAAATACCCCCACATCCCATTCCAAATTCCCAAGCCAGGTGCCAGGATTTCAGCTTCGCTTGGGACCTGTCCATGCTCCTCTCAGTTAGCACACGGAATCAAGAGGTGGTCTTTGGGCAGTAGATTTACCTGCTCAGGTGTGTTGAACTGGCGCTATAAAAATACATTTTTTCCTGCGCTCACAGTGGCAGCTGACGGCTAAGAAATGCCTAGCACAAAGGCAAGGGGACATGGAGTGTTTACTGAACAAAGGGACAATGGAATCAGCCCCACCCCTACCCTCTGCACGTAGCCAGCCCTGCCCTGCTCCCTCTCCTTTGAGTTCCTCTTGCTTTGGGTCGGATATGAATGTGCTCTCCTGGCTGCAGCGATACGGGGCTGCCTCAGCACACTCGGAGGCCCTGACTCAGGGGCTGCGAGGGGAGGGGAGGGGCTGAGCTGACCCCACCTCCTCAGAGCACAACACCTACTCCCGAATTGTGCTGCATCTGCAGAAGCCCTGCCCACCCAGGGATCCACGTCTCTGCCGTGAGCCTCTGGGCTTGTCTATTGCCAATCAACTGACTGTTCCCAGGCTACGGGAATCAGGAGTATTGGCCCTGCTCTGTGGAGGGCAACGAGGCTGAAGGGGAACTGATGGGCAGCTTTGGGGAACTGGGGGCTGGTGCGGAGTGCGGGGTTGGGAGTGGAAAGAGAGGTTATTATACAAAAGGGAAAACTACATATGAATGATTGGCAAGTGGCCTGTGGAGTGAGTGGGGAGCCATACAAATTCCCCTTAAAACCTGCACATCACACCCCAATAGTTTGCAAGTCACCTGCCACGTTAAAAACCACAGCCCTATTCCCCACAGACCTCCTCACCACATGGTCCCCTGCATATGTCCTAGAGAAAGTCTGTCATGTCTGTACTCGGCAGCCTCAAAGCCTGGGCTCTGCCTCCCCAGCCAGGTCCCCAGGCAGGGCAGGTGCAGACCTGGGGAAAGCAGGGAAGATAGGCAGCAGACTGGCTAGGGCGGGGCACCCCCTAGCCTCCTCTCCCTCTCGGGAGCCCCAAGACCTGGAAATGAGACTTGGTGGCAGCTGTTCCACCTCTGCCTGACCCTGATACCCTCCCTGTTGCCTCACTGATCCCCTGTAACAATCCCCCCACTACAGATGTCCCCTTGTGGCTCCCCTCTCCTGAGCACTGGGGTGCATCTCCTCTTCCCCCACAGCCCCGTGTAGGGCATCTCTTCTGTGCCAAGCCCTGCATTAGAAGCTGGTGATACAGAGGTGGCTACAACATGCTCGGAAACCTAGCGTGACTCTCAGCCTCACAGAGGAGTCGTGAGCAGTGACAGCCAGAGAGAATGGAAACGACAAGGAAAAGCAACTTGTGATTATGCCAGGCAAGGAGATCAGGGAGAAGCTCACAGAGAAGATTACAAGGACAGGGTCTGAACGGACAAGGGTTACTGACTTATGGGCAACATATTAAAAAGAACCCACCCACTTGCTTTTTCATTCACTCAATATAATATTTATCAAGCACCTGTCATGGGTCAGACCACCCAGGGGCTGGTGTCTCTGTGGTGAACAAGGCAGCCCCAGCCAGGGCTGACCTACCAGGAGGGACAGTAGACACAGTTCCTAGAGCCCATGGTAGGGACCATAAACTGGTGCAGCCACTTTGGAAAACAGTCCAGCAGTTCTTCAAAATGTTAAACACAGAGTTACCATGTGACCCAGCAATTCCACTCCTAGGTAGATACCCAAGAGAAATGAAAACATGTCCACACAAAAACTCGTACGTGAATGTTCATGGCATCACTATTCACAAGAGCCAAGAGGTGGAAACAACCAAAATGTCCATCAGTGGATGAATGGATAATCAAAATTTGGTCTCTCCATACAATGAAATATTATTTGGCCATAAAGAGGAGTGAAGTACTAATACGTGCTCCAACATGGATGAACCTTGAAAACATGAGGGAGATAAAAGAAGCCAGACACAGAGACCACATATTCTATGATTCCATTCATATGAAATTCCAGATTAGGGCAATCTACAGAGACAGAAAGCAGATCTGTGGCTGCCTAGTGGGCTGGAGGGAAGAGGAGATGGGGTGGCGGGGACAGCCAAAGGTTTCTTTTGAGGCGATGAGAACATTCTAAAAGGGACTGGGGTGACGGTTGCACTTATCTGGGAATATACTAAAACCGCTGAATTGTAATTTTCAATGAGCGAATTATATGATATGTGAATTATATCTTAATAAAGCTATTTTTAAAAAATGGGGCCCTGGCCCCAATCCATGCCCCTGGGGCTTACAGCCTACCTGAGAGTACAGACCTGGAACAGGAAATTACAGATGTCAGGCTTGTTGTGAAGGAGGACATAACTGAGGGTCCTACCCTGGTCACGGGCCTCGGAAAGATCCCCAGGGGAGGGGGCAGGCAAGCTGGATCCCAAAGGCCAGCAGGACTGAGGGGAAGCAAGGAAGCCCAGCAGGGGCTCCAGGCTGAGGGATCAGCAGCTGTGAACCAGAGTGTGCGGCGTCAGACGGGTGAGGGCCGGTGGCTTTAGGGATGCACATCCACACCCGGGAAGGAGGGGATGGGACAACGGGGGCCTCATGGCCTCCATTCCCACTTGAAGCCCTGTCACTCTGGATCTGGCCCTAGAGCCAGCTAAGCTCCTTGCTGATTAAGCACTCAAAGCTCTGAAAACTACAGGAATGCTCGGCCTGCAGTCAGCAGAAACAGAGATGACAACAGGCCACCCACCTCTGTCCCAAAGATGACTACCCAAGGCCCAGGAGGCACCCCAGTGGAGTAAAGGAGGAGGAGGAGAGAAGATTCCCCCACCCTCACAATGAGGTGGGCTTGAGCCTGGCGACCATCCCTTTGGGAATTCCCATCCTAGAGTGGCCCAGGCCCCAGGGGAAGGGAGACTTGTCTGGAACCGTCCACTAGGCAGACTCATCCCAGTAGTGAGGGCACCCCAGCTCAGTCCTGGACATGAGCTACAGGCCCCGGCGCATCCCCCTCAGTGCTGTGCAGCCATGCCCCCATTCTCCCCCTCTCTCCAGGGAGGAGGTGACTCTAGGCAGGCAGGACAAAAGTGCCTCCCGGTAGTTCCCTGGGCGGTTCACCTCCATTACCTGGGCAAACATCTGAGTTTCTCCCAGGACCCACCCTGCACCTATAGGGAGGATCAGGCCCCGCCCTGCCCTCGGAAGGAAGGGAGAGCTGACTGCTGGAAGCCAGAGCCTCCCTGCATTCCACCCGGCCACGGGAATCCAAATCCCAGCCCTTCCCAGAGCGCCCCCATGAGGACAGGTGGGGAACAGCCCAAAGAGGCCTGGGGCAGGTGGGAGGACCCTGAATGAAGCCCCTTGTTTTTGTGTCTGTCCCCCCGAATGTCTCCCATTTCTTGTCCCTCTTCTCTCTAGGAGAGCCTTCCTTGCCCCACTGTGCCCTCCCTCAGATGCCCTCTGCCCTTCCCCTGGGTCCCCCAGGATCCCTTGCTCATCCAAGTCCCATCAGCGGCCCCAGGTGGACCCACTACCGCCTCTCTCCCCTTGGGGCTCGGATTGGGGGAAATGGCTGCAGAAATGGAACTGGGGGCAGAGAAGGGGAACTTAGGATCACTGAGTCTGGTAAAAGGAAGAGGGCTGCACCCAGCAAGCATCCCAGCACCTAATCTTGATGTCGGCTCACATCACACCCAATAAAGGTTTGTTGAAGCAAACCGACCTGCACGCCTGCGAGCAGGTCACCTGTCACATTTCACCCTGACAGGTGATAACTGTGGGCAAGTGAAGAATTTGGGCTAAACCTGAAAAAAGTCATTCTGCCTGAAAGGGTGGGGACGGGCTCAAGCATAAGGGGTGCTTTGACTCTCCTCGGAGGTGTTTAGATTCTATCCAAACATCACTAGTCTGACAGGGCAGAGGGCTCTCTCCTCATCGCCCCCCTCCTTCTGCTGGGGGACCCCTGAGCTTCCCTTCCCACCAGGGCAGGTCTCAGCGTGAACACGTCCCAGTGAGTGCCTCTCTCCTGTGCAAACTTGTCCCTAGGCAAAACAGAAACATCTGAAGAAGATGGCTTTAGCAAAGCCTTCTCACCATCTGGATTTCCCTGTCACCCTCCTCCGCTCCCACAGGCATGCGCGCACACACACACAATCACACACACACACACACACACACACACACACACACACACACACAGTGCAGTCACTGTGCACCCAGGGTTCACAGGCTCTGCTCAGCCAATCAGGATGGCCCCTTCCCCTCCCATCCCCTCCTCCCTGCCAAGCCCTCATCAGCAGTTCCCCCTCCGCCCCAGGCAGTTAGCATCGAGATGAGCCAGCAAACTGCCTACACTAGCTCAGCCAGCAGATCTCAGGATTACATCCAGACCAGCTCCCAACAGGAAGCAGAAACTGTCAGAGCAGCAAAAGCCCCAGCCCGGAGTTTCCAGGACAACTCCCCTCTCCCCACCTGCTGAGGACTGTGTTTTGCATTGTCTGATGAAATAATGCCTCAGAAGTATAAACTGCTAATGGCAACAGCCCATCTCAGAAAAGGGGTTATGCGTGACTGGTCTCAATTACCGCCACCCCGCCTGGGCTGTTAAGGTTGAAGGAAGCTGAACCACAGGACAGCCCCGGGAATGGCTGGTGGGGTAATGATGCCACAGCCACTGGAGTGGGAAGCAGGTGGGGTGCTGGACGGGAACAGAAATGATGGCTTACCAGTGAAAGGAGGATTGTGCAAAAGAGAGGGGAAGGGGGCAGAGAGAAAAAGAGGGGGACGGAGGGGGGGAAAGAAATGGATGACAATAACCGCACCAGGCTCCACACAGCATACACCCCAAACATTTTCACGTGTAACCCGCACATACTGTGCAGTAGGTATAATTCCATTTTACAGATGAAGAACCTGAGGCTTAGAGAGGTTAAACAATTTCCCCAGCTCATTTGTATACCATGGAGGGCGAATGTTGCACAGTGATAATAAAAGGCAAGCAGACTTTTAGTTGGGTGTATTGTTGTTTTTAAGTTCTCTACAGACACGCACCCCTGACTGCCTGCATCCAGGGTGTGCCACTACCGTGCCCTTCCCATGCCACTGCCCAAGGTCACACTGCTGACTGATGGCAAAATTGGGACTGAACCCAGTTCCATTTGACTCCAAGGGCTGTGTCAAGTCTTCTGTTCCCGGCCTGGCATACTCACTGGTGCCCTCTATGCCATCCCTCCTGCTCCCCTCCCCTTTTCTCCTCCACAGGGGTCCCCCATCCCCTTCCCAGTCACCTGGATTCCCTTGCCTGGCCTCAGTGGAGGGGGATGCCCTTTCCTCCAAGCAGCCAGGCTTACACCCCAAGAGGCTGGAGCTGGAGGGCAAACTGAGCTCTTGGATTTCTGCACCATCCTCCTCAGGGTCATTCCTGTCCATTTTGGAGACTAGAGTCTCCTCTTCCTGAAATACTTACAAAGCCAAATGCCCAAATTCCTCTTCTTTCACCCCCTGTCCTTTCTCCCTTTTTCCTCCTGCTTTTAATCTTTGCGATGTCTTCATTCATTCAACAAAACCATATAGCATGCCTCCCACATGTCCCCGCTATCCTAAGCAGGAGACACAGAGGAGGAAAGAAACACACAACAGTGCCTGCCTCCTGGAGCTTTTATTCCAGCCTAGGAAGACAGGTGATAAACAGGTAAATCCATGCAGGAAAGGACCTCAGACTGTAAGCACTGCTAAGGAGAAGAGGAAGTGGGGAGGGGGAATAGAGAGTACACAGGGGAGGGGGCTTTAAGGAGGGGGCGACCCATGAGCAAAGAACTGGAAGAGTTGAGGGACCCGGCCATGTAGCCATTTGCAGGAAAAGAGTTCCCAGCAGAAAAACAACAACAACAACAGCAAATGGGAAGGCCTCTGAGTAGGAGTTTTCCTGCCTGTCTGATGGCCACACAGGAGGCCAGGGTGGCTGGAGCAGGGTGAGCAGTAGGACGGATAGAGGGAAGTGAGGTCAGTGAAAGAGGAGAGCAGACTACGTAGAGTCCCGTATGGCATTTACTCTGAGTGGGATGGGAAACCACCAGAGGCATATGAGCTTAGAAATGGCATGATCTGACATGTTTTTAAAGGACCCTTCTGACTATGGTGTTAAGGAAAGTCAGAGGGGGCAAAGGAGGAAGCAGGGTGACTAGCTGGAAGGAGACTTCAATAGACCCTGTGAGGAGTGATGGGCTTGGACCAATATGGTAGCAGTGGGGTGATGAGAAGTAGTAGGAGTCCAGGTATATTTTGCAGGTAGGACTTGCCAATGGATTGAATGTGCGATATGGAAAAAGCTGAGGAATAAAGGATGACTCCCAGATATTTGGCCTGAGCCACTACAGGGATAGTGAGCCTGGCAAGTGGAACATATTTCATAGGAACAATCAATCGGGAGAACAGCTTTGGATAGATGAAGGCTGAGATACTAATCGATATCCAAGTAGAGATGTGGGGGCTTCCCTGGTGGCACAGTGGTTGAGAGTCCCCCTGCTGATGCAGGGGACGCGGGTTCGTGTCCCGGTCCGGGAGGATCCCACATGCCGTGGAGCGGCTGGGCCCGTGAGCCATGGCCGCTGAGCCTGCGCATCCAGAGTCTGTGCTCCGCAAAGGGAGAGGCCACAACAGTGAGAGGCCCGCGCACCATAAATATATGTGTGTGTGTGTGTGTGTGTGTGTGTGTGTGTGTGTGTGTGTGTATACATACATGTGGGGCACAGAAGAGATGCCTGGGATAGAGATACACCTTGGCAGTCATCAGTGGAAAGATGGTATTTAAGTCATGAGGCTGTATGCTGTCATGAAGGGAACAAGTATAGATAAAGACATGAACAGGAACAAGGGCTGAGCCCAATGATGCTGTGGTGTGTGGAGGTCGGGGATATGAGGATAAACTGGTTGAGAAAACTGAAAAGAAGCAGTCAGTAATATGTATAGAAAATCAGGAGAATGTGGTGTCTGGAAACCAAAAGAAGAAATTGTTTTAAGGAAAAGGGAATGATCAACTATGTCAAATCCTGCTAAGTGAAATGAGAGCTGGGAATGGACCAGTGATTTTAGCAACCTGGAGGTCACTTGCAACCTTCACAAGAAGTATTGTGTTATTATTATTTTTCTGCTTCTCCCTTTAGACATACACCTGATAGCTGGGTCTGTATAAAACAGTGGTAAACTAGGAACAGAGGAAAACTTCCTCAACTTGACAAAAAATATATATATCTACAAAAAAACTACAGCTAACATTGTACTTAATGGTAAGAAACTTGAAGATTTCCCACCAAAAATCAGGAATAAGGCAAAGATGCCCCCTCTCACCGCTGCTTTTCAACATCAAACTGGAAGTCCTAGCTAATGCAGTAAGACAAGAAACAGAAATCAAAGATATAGAGATTGGGAAGGAAGAAAATAGTGAAGACCTGAGATGGTTAGCTCCAGAGAAAAGCACATATCCCCTTCCAAGTAGAATCCCAAGTGAGCACAAGTTCCCCCAGGCACAGACGAGTAGGACAAATCATGTCACTCTCTAGAATAGAAAAGGCAAACATCTGTCTCTGGGTCCTGAAATACTTGCGATATTGATTAACGATGATAATGATAGCCAGTGACTTAGAACTTTTCATTTCCTACCCAGATGCTTATTGCTTGGTTTCTCTCCCTCCTAACCAAAGATTCATCAATAATGCAAGGAACCCGCATAGGCAGGACTATAGATCAGCCCTAATGTGTATTGTGGGGGCTCAAAATCATGTGGTTAACTTTCCACACAGATACACGGCCAAATCATACATAATTTTGGCCTCAAACTATGCCACAAAAGTATTGGTTGGTGGAAGTCCTCAAGATTAATCTCCCCCCAACACCAGGAGGATAGAGACCATCTTTTTATCTCTGTACCCTCGGCACCAAGCACATTACCTGAGAGAGAGTAACTGGAAATTGTCAAATGAATAAACGAACGTATGAATGAATGGATCTCCTTTGAGTGTCTCAGATCAGACATGTATCTACACTACCCCAAATGAGCTTTAGTGACGATTCAATTTTTATGTAAACAGTCAAATCAGATCATGAAGGTTAGATAAAACACTGCAAAATGTTTTTGGACTGTTTAATCCATCTACAGGAATGCAACCAACTGTATTCTCACCATATCATTTCTTACTTAGGGCTATGAAAACCCTGCCTGTCTTCTGCACACCCCCATCTATTGAGGGGGTTATCTGTATAGCTGCATCCCTTGCAGCCTCCTGCTGGAGCAGTTACCATCCTAACTTTCTGGTGGTTAGCCACACTTACTGTGGAAAGTCTATTGGATTTATGACCAAAGCAAATTAAGGTCCCCATAATGGCAATAGTGGTGGACTTGTGGAAGAAGTAGGACCATAATGTTTACGTGTTTATATGTTTTTAATGTTTATAGGTTTGATGTTATGGCCCTGATTCTGAGGAAAATAGGTGTGTCTGAGATTAGCTCATTGTGAAGGAGGTTACAGGCTGGAAGGTTTTCTGCTAACTACCCAAGCTCATAAATGCTTCCAAAGGGCTTTTTCCATTTTTAGGGGGCCAATCCTCAGATCCCCACACACATAAAAGTGCTTAGAGGGATCCACCGGCCTCAGAGGGCCTCCCAGCTCCGGCTCCCCCTGCTCTGCAGTCGCTGCTCGCCTCTCACCCAGGACACCGTCACACCTTGCCGCTCCGACACAGTCAGCTCTGGTCGCCGTGTGGGCAGCTTCAGCTCTTGCTCAGCAATGAACCCGAACCACTTCCGGGCCAGCTCTGTCTTCTGCAGGAGTGGGCCCCACTTCCAGGGTCTTAACAGCTTTGGCAGTCGGAGTGTCATCAGGTTTGGATCGTGCTCACCCCGGATAGTAGCTGTGTGCCCTCGGCCCATCCGCTACGGAGTTGGCCTTGGTTCTGGCAGTGGGATGGCCTTTGGCTTTGGTGATGGGAGCGGTGCTGGTCTGGGGTTTGGAGCTGGCAGTGGCCTCGGCCATGGCTTCGGCGGCCCTGGCTTTGGCTACCAAGTTGGAGGAGCTGGAGCGCCAACAGCCCCGTCCATCACAGCAGTGACTGTTAACCAGAGCCTGCTGACCCACCTCAGCCTGGAGGTTGACCCTAATGCCCAGAGGGTGAAGAGGGATGAGAAGGAGCAAATTGAGACCCTCAACAACAAATTTGCCTCCTTCATCGACAAGGTACTTAGGACAGCTCAACCTCCGGGTCTGGGATGATGTGAGCTAAACGCACTGAGATGTTCTTTCCCTTAAGAAGAACGGGTCCAGACCTAGGGCATCGACCTTGAGCCCAGATCCTTCAGGCACCAGCCAGAGGCATGGCGGTATGATTTCTGGGTCACTCCGCTGCGGAGCCAGGACGAGCCCGAGGAAGCACTGCATGGAGGGATAGATTAAGACAGTGGTGGTGTCTTCTGGGGGAAGGAGGAACATCCAGCCAAATCTGAAGGCATCTGAACAAACTAAGACCTACCACCTAGTCGCTTAGAAATGTCTCCCAAACAGGCTAGAAACACTAACACCTCCACCAGCTGTTGGCTGGTACAGGTTTAAGAGGTTTTATCCTTTGAGATCCTCATGCTCTCTTTCAAGTTTCCATGGTTTCTGAGGCTGAGTGGCCACACCTATTCAGGCTTAAAGAAATGGAGAATGGAGTTGAGTAATTTTTGTACATAGCAAAGAATTCATACCCCTCCCCCACCTGGGTTATCCAGATTCAGCTGAGTCGCCTAGATTGAGGGAAACAGTAGGGAATGACCACTGGTGGTCACTGGTCTTCAGGCTGATGAGAGGAACAGAGAGGTGGAACTGACACAGCCCCAAACCCCAGACCGTGTCTCCATGAAGTGGGGATGCTCTATTGTGTCTGAGATTGGAAACTCACCTCTGTGAGCTTCATTTCACTCCGAAATGAGGGGTTGGAGCAAATGGCCTCTGTGTTCCCCTCCAGCTCTATAAGTCTCAGCTGATGGAATTTCTGAGGTGATGGGTATGAATTATGACCTGAGAATTCCCACCTCCTAATACCACATCCCAGCCCAATGTACTTTATTCTGCTCCTCATTCCCTGCTAGGGATGGCTGAAATCAGTTTTCAGATATAGGCAAACCCCAGCTCAGGTAGAATCGATCTCCAACTTCCCAGTGAACCAGCCCTCACCTTTCTCAGAGGGTTGAAAGGGAAATGGTTGAAGAGCTTTGGTTCCAAAGCTTCTGTTTGTAGATAAGCCTGGTTGAGCACGAGGAGGGGTCGCAGACCTGCTCTGCAGATTCTACTGAGTTAGAGGAGGAGCTAAATTCAACAGAGGGGGGAACGATGTCACCACAGGTTTAAGTCACCTCTGGCCATCTGAGCAACGTTGACATACAGGTGACTATATCAAGCACTTCAATTGCCATGTCTTTGCCCCTGTGGATTTAGGTGCGGTTCCTGGAACAGCAGAATAAGCTCCTAGAGACCAAGTGGAACTTCCTCCAAGAGCAGAAATATGGCAGGAGCAACCTGGAGCCCCTCTTCGAGAACTACATCACCAACCTGCAGAGACAGCTGGACGTAGTGAACAGCGAACGGGCCCGGCTGGAGGCTGAGAGGAACAACGTGCAGGATGTCCCTGAGGGTTTCAAGAAGAAGTGAGTGGCTGCTGGACTGCACTGACCTAGGATGGGCACGGGCTGGTCCCCAGAGCAGCGGCCAAGCTTGGGTGAGAGCTGCCGGAAGGATCAGGGTTGAATGCTGGTTTCAATTCCCAGCCTGAAGACAGGGGTGGGGATGTGATATGTATGGGAGGAGGAGGCCCTCCATGGGTCCTGAGGAGAAAGGAGACTTGGAATTGGGCATGGTTGTCCCTAATCCTACCTGTGAGCATGGGTGAGTTGACCCCAGGAAAAGAAACTCTCTGATTTTGAGAACAGTGCCTAAGTCCAGCCACAAATAAGGTCCTACTTCCTCTAAGCGCAATGACCCTAAGGCTTTTCCAGCAGAGGAGCACAGCAAAGGTCCAGATTTTCAGACCCCACATCCAATTTGAGAAAGTAAAAGGGATTTGGAGAAACCAAGGGCTGTGGACTCATAAAAGGTCTTAAAGATGGGACAGAGTGGATGAAAACATGCAGGGAGCCAGGCTCCTGGACGGAGCAGAGAGATCACAAGAGGTGATAACTGGGGAGCTGGGAGTAATCGGCTCTCAGTTCAGAGTGAGAACTCACCCTCTTCATCCTTATCATCCACATATGAAGAGGAGGTGGAACTCCTGACCAACGCTGAGAATGAGTCTGTGGCTCTGAAGAAGGTAAGGAGAGCAACAGGCCCAGGCAAACTTCTCCTCCAGACAGACAAATGTTCTCGCAACTCCAGGACACTGCCCGGACAGACCTGTGAATACTCACACACAGTGGACCCCCTAAGGTCACAACCGCTTCCCTTCGAAGTTCTGATTTGGCCTCCAGTGACTTAGGATTGGGTCTTCATGAGAGCAGAGGTCTGAAGGGATGACATTTGAAGAGTCTTGGATTATCCAGACTCTTCCTGCCTCTAAATAAGCATCAGAAAATGTCCAGCATCCCTGGGGGTTTCATGCTATATAAGGGAGAAGAACAAGAGTCACTAAGCTGTATTTCCACCCAATGACTTTCCCATCTGTCCCACTTGGCCTGGCCCTGTGGGAACTGGCCTGGTCTTCCCACCCACCTCCAGAACCTGCCAAGGCGGGGAGGTTAAACAGTGCGCAAGTAATGAGCATTTTATCCTTCTCTCTTTGATACAGGATGTGGATACAGCTTTCTCAAATAAGTCTGATCTAGAGGCCAACGTGGATACCTTAACTCAGGATATCAACTTCCTGAAAACCCTACACATGGCGGTAAGGGGTCATCCCCTCTGAGCTATCCAAGGAGCTCAGTGTGTGGTCTGGACTCCCTGGGGGATTCACTGGACTAGTGTATTTTCTAACCTTTGGTATCATACCTCTTTCCTCCCATCAAATCTATATCCTCTATAGTTGATGCATGTACAAGCGGAGAAGGTAAGGGGAGCAGGCTTCTCGGCAGCCTGACTCAGGTCTGTGAATCAGCTCCTTGGATCCATGAGCCAACTTCTGTTGACCAATCTAAAGACTGGGGTCTAGGAATGTCACTTCCTATCTACTGAGGAGAAGACCCTGGAAAACTGATTTTCTAGGAGATGTAAGAAAAACTGTGTTACCTAATTAGTCAAATGAACCAGCGATCTTCTGCTTCTGTTTGGTCTGGAACGATCCCAATCAGAGCTAAATGGCTGGCTCTGAGTGGAAAGGCTGAAGAAAGCTCTCTCGGGGGCCCTCACCTTGCAGGCCAGTTCCCAGCCCTCCCCCAGCCCCACCCCTGGTTCTATTAAGGACTTGGGATATAGGAATTCCTAGACCACCATGTTCTAAAATATTGTCAGCTCTCAGTGATCCAGACTGGCACAGCCACTGTATGGATAAACCAAAGAAAGTTTAAGCTTTAGCATGGTCTCGCTCCTCTCCGCCAAGTCCTTAGGCTCCCATGGTTTTAATAGTCACCTAAGAAGTTAAGATGTTAAAGGAATGTCTCCTAGTGTATAACAAGGGTTTAAAGTCAAACTGAAACGGTTCTGGGCCACCTCTTTTTCTTTGCTTTTGGTTTGGATGATCTGCCCCATTGCTGTGCTCTGAACAAACAAGCAATGCTCTCTCCCCCGACTCCGCATCCTGGGGACCCTGTGGCAGAGCCCCGGGCACTGACGGGACTCTGAACCCATCTGTCTCGCTGATCCTACAACACAGGAAATCCAGTTGCTGCAGTCACACATCTCTGAGACCTCAGTCATCGTGAAGATAGACAACAGCCGGGACCTGAACTTTGATGGGATCATCGCCGATATCAAGGCGCAGTATGAAGAGACTGCCAGGCGCAGTCGGGCTGATGCAGAGGCCTGGTACCAGACCAAGGTGGGCAGGAGGGCACTGGGGAAAGGGTGTAGGCAGCCCTGGGGTCAGACTCATGGATGACAAAGTGGGCTGTGATCTTGACCCAATCTTCAAGCCCTCGGAATACCCCTTTCTCCCCCACCCGCCAGTATGAGGAGATGCGGGTGACAGCTGGCCAACACTGTGACAACCTGCGTAACACTCGGGATGAGATCAATGAGCTGACCCACCTGATCCAGAGGCTGAAGGCAGAGATCGAGCACGCCAAGGCTCAGGTGGGCGAAAGAAAGGAGAGAAAGCCCCACAGGGAGGACAGGCAGGGCCCCAAGCTTTGGGGAGCCCAAGTCTGAAGATGTGGGGGAGGCCACCAGGACCCAGAAACAGAGGAATAAAAGAATTAGTCCAGGAAGACTTCCTGGGGGAGGAAAATGTGGAACCAGGGAAAGAGTCTCCCATGTAGAAGGAAAGACCTGGGGCTGACTTAGAGGGGCAGGTGAGGCAGAAAGAACGGCTTTACTCTCTGGACCCCATTGGTCTTAGAGCAGCAGAAATCAGTAAGTGCAAAATCAGTGAGGATAGAAATGGAAGATAAGCAATGTTCTGCTCCCTGCTGACGTCAAACTACAGGATGACAATCCCTGGGGAAGCATCCTCCACAGGCTCCACCCCTGGCTTAGCACCATGCCATGTGCCCACTCACAGGGGGCAGAGTTTCTAGTCTGACCTGAGGATCCCCTAGTCCCTGCCAAAGCCCACCTGCAAACTGCCCTCCCCCCAGCACTGCAAGCTGGAGGCCGCTGTGGCCGAGGCAGAGCAGTGGGGCGAGGCAGCCCTCAGCGACGCCAAGTGCAAGCTGGCGGAGCTGGAGGCTGCCCTGCAGCAGGCCAAGCAGGACATGGCACGGCAGCTGAAGGAGTACCAGGAGGAGATGAATGTCAAGCTGGCCCTGGACATCGAGGTCGCCACCTATAAGCGCCTGCTGGAAGGCGAGGAGAGCCACTAAGTGCTCTCAGTGCAGCAGGTGGGAGTGGGTCAGGAGGAACGAAGGACTACCTTTTTTTTTTTTTTTTTTTTTTTGTGGTAGGCGGGCCTCTCACTGTTGTGGCATCTCCCGCTGCGGAGCACAGGCTCCGGACGCGCAGGCCCAGCGGCCACGGCTCACGGGCCCAGCCGCTCCGCGGCATGCGGGATCCTCCCGGACCGGGGCACGAACCCGTGTCCCCTGCATTGGCAGGGGGACTCTCAACCACTGCGCCACCAGGGGAGCCCAGGACTACCTTTTTGATGGGCAATGTGGGGACCGCCAAGGAGCATGATATCATTGGAAGAGAGAAGCCCTGTGGCTTCATGCAAGCTACTGACGCAGCTGCTGGGTAATCCAGATCGCTACCCGCCTCACTCAACCCAACCTGACTTTGGCCGTATATAAATGGTGGTGGACTTATGGCTATAGGCCAACACCTGGGGAACTGGCTGAATTCTTCCATTTTAGTCCGAATGTTTGACTTCAGTGGAGTCACAGCCTTTGAGACACCCAGACAAGAGAAGGGAAAAGTGGGTACTGACTATGTAGACAGTAGGAACTACTCGGACCCAGGCCACTTCCCCTGATGCCACCGCCCGTCCCTCCCCCCACCCCCAGTGGGAGGGGGAGGATGAGGCAGCCTCACTGAGGGTTTCATCCTCCCACAGCGGTGAGCAGTTCCCGGGGCGGCCCGGTGTGCGGGCCCCCGAGCCTCTGGTCACCACCTGCAGCCTCTCCGGCGGCGGGGTCACCATCTCGGGCCGCAGCAGCAACCGGTCCAGCGGCTTCTGCAGCTCGAACGTGGGCGGGGCCCAGGTCGTGGGCGGGGCCCAGGTCGTGGGCGGTGGGGACCCGCTGAGCGCGGGCTTCCAGGGAGGGGAGCTCGGTGCTTGTGGGCGAGACCTGCGCCCCCAGCGTCCCCTGCCCGCTGCCCACCGAGGACGGCTTCAGCAGCCGCGGTTGCAGCGTCCGCTTCGTGTCCACCACCACCTCGAGCCGAGCGCCGACCAGCCACCAACCAGGAAGAACCATCTCCACGGCTTCTGCTTCTGTCCCCAAAGTGCCCGGACTCTGGGCCGAGGGCGCTCTAGGTACCCATCCTGCCAAGAAGCCGAGGGCTGCTCTGCCTGGCCTGTGTCCTCTGGGGGGATTTTTTTTCACCACCTAAACGCTCCATCCACAGCCCCAGCGGACTGGCCTCTCCCTGACTCCCAATTTCCTTCCTTTGGGTCACTCCTCACCACCCAGCCCAAAGACCTCAAGAAATGCAGATTCAATACAATTACAAAAATCAGCATGTTGGTCCTAGCTTTGGATTAACTTAGAGAATGGAGAGCTGGCTGTCCACACAGCAGGTGTCCTCAAGCCACCGTCCTCTGCTTCCCTCCCCTTCCTTTCCCTGGCAGGAGAAGGTCCTTTCCTTCTCTTCCTGACCCAGAAGGATCCACAGTTTTTGGTGGGCCAAGCGATCCCAGAGATGGTTCTTCTCTGAGCGGCATAGGTCCTAGCTGCTTCTCTTCCTGGGGTGTTGGTGAAACCCTGGCATGCGAGTCCACGAGGTGGGTGAGTGCTGGTAGAGAGATGGACCCTGCAACACTCCACGCCCCTGCTGGTGGTGTGAGGGAGGCCCAGCTCTGTTCACTGCAGGGGGGTTTATGTCTGCATGCTCCAGGGAGGCCTGGGCTGGGGTGGGTGCCTGTCTGTACTGCTCTTTGTGTTGCTGGGATTTCAATTAACTTGCCAAGCTAGGATCACTAGGACTCTGGCCTTTCCTTCCCAATCACACTGGGGACGGGGGAGCTTGCCTCCTAGACTCCACTAGCCCACCCCCCTGGGGACTTGCCAAGGGCAGAGGCTGGTGTCCTGGGACAGAGGAGGTACTGAGGAAAGAGCGCTCAGGCCCCTCTCTGGAGGGGCTCACAGCTCAGCAAGGGAGACGAGACATATAGCAAAAACTCTGAAAACAAATGCCAAGCAGCCCACTTCTCTCCATGCATTGCCCTCCAGCCTCCTCCCTACCAGGGCGAAATCCTTCACTTGTTCCCCAAGTCCCACCCCGCCCCCAGTTCCTCTGGGATCATTGCAGGGGCCAAGAGACCCAACCATGTGTTTAACGGGTTGGAACTTTCAGTCCACCCTCCCCAACCTCCAGGGAGGGAAGCAGGGTTGGAGTTTGAATCAATCAATCAATCCTGACTATGTAATGAAGCCTCCATAAAAACCCCATAAGGACTGGGGGATTCAGAGAGTTTCCGCATTGGTGAACATGTGGAGGAGTGGCACACGTGGAGAGAACGTGGACGCTCTGCACCCTTCCCCCATACCTTGCCCTATACATCTCTTCCATCTGGCTGTTCCTGAGTTATATCTTTTTATAACAAACTGGTAATCTAGTAAGTAAAATGTAAGTAAATCTAGTAAGTAAAATACCTAAGTATCAGCCTTTAAAAAGGATCTGTATGCTAAAAACTATAAAACAATAATGAAAGAAATCAAAGAGGACCTAAATAAATGGAGATACATACTATGTTCATGAATTGGAAGATTCAATATTGCTAAGGCATTGATTCTCCCCCAAAGATGGCATAAGGTTCAAACCTGTGGACTCACAGACCCCAGTTCAAATCCCAGGCTCTCTACTTAAAATAGCTGTGTGACCAAAAGTAATAATAGGCAAGAATAATACTTATAGATTGAACTGAGAAGAGTTTCAAGTGTGTTTTGTGTTTTAACTTGACTTTTTCAACAATCTTAGGCAGTAGGCACTTTAATAATTTCCCTTTTGACAGATGACAGAATCAAGGCCCAGGGGTCAAAGCAGAGGCATTCTGACTCCAAAACTCACACTCATCACCACCATGCTGTTCTGTCTGTCACAATCTCACTAAGCCTCTTGCCTCATCTGTAGAATGGAAAATAGTTCCTATTTCAAAGATTATTAGCCCATAGCCTGGCACACAGTGATGCACAACAAACGGTTGCTACTGTTTTGATGGTGATGGTGGTGGTGGTTCTAGTTTTACTACTAATGGAGAAGAGCTGTGTTCAGCAGCTCAGCCACTCCAGGACCAAACAAGGGTGGATACCGAAGTGTCAGCGGACTGTTTCCAGCGTCTGCACCTGCACCGAAGCCCCAGCTCTGATCCACAGGCAGGCGACTCCCTAGCCTTTCCAGCTCCGGCAACCAGGACTGAGCCTCTGCGGGGCTGCCTGTGGGGCTTTGCTGCCCTCTGCTGGCCACCAACTTCCGTGGAGACACCGCACCAGGGCATTTTCAAAGCACTCCCGCAATAGGATTTTGCGGAGGGAGAGGGGAGTTTTTTGTTTCGTTTTTTTTCCTTTTGTTTTTTTTAATCAATTTCCCTAAGTTTTTTTTTAATTGACGTATATTTGATTTACAATATCGTGTTAGTTTCAGGTGTACAGCACAGAGATTCATTTCTGTATACATATACAAATATATATATAAATATTCCTTTTCAGATTATTTTCCCTTATAGTTTATTACCAAGTATTGAGTACAGTTCCCTGTGCTATGAGAGGGGAGTCTTTTAAAAACAAATTGTTTTCTCCAAAACTGTGTTTAGGACACAAACATTGCAACACTGAATAGCAACTTTAGGAAAAGAAATCCACCCCCTCACTCACCAGCCCAGCACAGCACTGTTTTCACCATCCTGTGTCTCTGTCAGCCTGGGTTCCCACAGATGCTCAGAAAACCACAGGCTTGAATCAGGAAAGAGCCATGGAGGGCTCTGAGCGCCACGGTTCTCAAACTAAGTGTGCTCCTCAGGACTCAAGGGCCACACATAAAACATTTTATGTGTTTTATGCCACACATAAAACATTTAAAGTATCCAAGACATCCATTCATTTACACAGTCATTCAGTCAGCAAGTATTTACTGGGCACTTACTCTATCCCCAACACTGTTCCAAGTGCTTGGGAACCATCAATGAACAAGATGGACAAAAATCCTGCTTCCATGGAGTTTATTTTGGGGTGAGAGGAAAGACTGATAATCATCAAGAAATAGAACAGACAGGCCAATTATAGGGTGTGCTAGAAGGTGTTAAGTGTTATGGAACAAAGAAATAGATCAGAGCAGGATAAGCTGGATGGAGAACGCTCTGGGAGGGAGAAGGCAGGTTGCCATTTTTAAAAGAAATACCAGAGAAGCCTGTTTGAATAGTGACGTTTGGGCAAAGAGCCACAGGTGGCAACGGAGCGGGCCATGTGGCGGAGGGAACAGCATTCAGGGCAGAAGGGCCAGTCAGTGCAAAGGCCCTGAGTCAGGAGTGGGCCAGGTGTGTCTGAGGAGCAGAGGGAGGCCGGTGTGGGTGACGAGAGCAAGGGGATGAGGTGAGAACTGTAACAACAGGGACAGGCGGTGCATCATTAGGACTTTTTTTTTTCTTTCTTTTTTTACTTTGAGTGAAATGGAGAATTATCGGGGCATTTGAGCAGAGGAGTGACACAGCTCAGTGTCTTAAGGGGATCACTGGAGTGGGGGTGGGCAGGGCAAGCAGAGACCAGCGTGTCCATCTTTTTTTTTTTAATAAATTTATTTATTTATTTTTGGCTGCTGTTGGGTCTTAATTGCTGTGCGCGGGCCCTCTCTAGTTGTGGCAAGCAGGGACTACTCTTCATTGCTGCGCGCAAGCCTCTCATTTTGGGGGCCCCTCCCACCGCAGAGCACGGGCTGTAGGCACTCTGGCTCAGCAGCTGTGGCTCGCGGGTTCTAGAGCGCAGGCTCAGTAGTTGTGGCGCACGGGCCCAGCCGCTCCGCAGCACGTGGGATCCTCCCAGACCAGGGCCCGAACCCGTGTCCCCTGCACCGGCAGGCGGGCTCCCAACCACTGCGCCACCAGAGAAGCCCCATCGTGTCCATCTTATCTGTTTGTGTAGCTGGATAGATAGACAGACAGACAGACAGATAGATAGATAGACAGGCAGGTTTATATAGCTGTTTTCCTCCTAAGATTTAGGGAAATGGTTCTACTGCTAAAGAAGAAGAGAAGGAGATGAAGGAAGAGAAGAAGACGAGGGAGGGGAAGGGAGGGGGAGGAGGTAGAGGAGGAGGAGAGGAAGAAAATTTCAAAACCATTAGTATGGTCCAATTTTGAAATTTGAGGCTCTGTATTTACTGAGCATCTGCTCTGGCCCAGAATAGCCACAGGAAACAGCAAAGCCATGAGAGAAAGCTGCCTGCAGGAAGGCATGTGGACAGGGTTCGGGAGGAGAGTCTAGAGTTCCTGGCAGGGAAGCCCATGAGAGGAAAGATGGGGTGGCCCAGGGAGCGGCTTTGCCAGCTGGATGAGGGGCCCAGCCCCAGATGTGCTTGGGAGGGTCCGGTGTTCATCCAATGCCTCTCTGTTGCTCTGACCTCACTCCTCTCACATAGGGTCTCTGAGTCACACCCAAGTCTTGCAAAAGCCAGAGGAAATGTCACGGGGCTAAAAGACCCTGCAAGAACTGTGTCCCAGCACCAGGAGGTGGCGTAGATCTGGACGCATAATAAAATTGTGGAAAAGACCGGCAGAGATGAGGGGAGATGCCCAATTTGAATGAACTGTGTGGGCAGCTACCAAGGCCCTGATCAGGACAGGCCCATGGGAGCTCTCAGGGTCAATCCCAGAGAACTAGTCAGCCGGGTCAACAGGCAGCTCTAAGGACACGTAGGGCAAGACAAGAAGGTATCAGCGCTCTCCCATCTTTGGACAAATCCAGGAAGCCCTCCTAGGGGCAGGGGGATTTTAAGCACAGTAGAGAGAGCAGAAGGGAAGGCAGGTAGTGAGTGCCTGGTGGGTGGAAGAGCACGCGTGCCCCCAGCAGGCATCCCAGCTTAGGCAACATGCGGGAGGAGGATGGAGCATCAGCCGTGGGTGTGAGTATGAGCGGTGAGGCCTCTGGGGAGCCACAGGAGAGGGACTCCAGGAATGGAGCAGATTTAAAGGGAGTCATGGCAGCTGCCAGGGTGGAGTAGGAAACCTCTCTCAGCCAATTAGCGCTTGAAGACTTCCTGGAAAAAGTGGCCTCTCGGGAGTATATTAAATTATGGGAGGGCCATGGGTTTTCGAGTGGACATTCTGACACTGGGTGTGGCTTTCAAAAGGTGGGGGGAGCACAATGGGACAGGACCAAAGAGCATGATGAATGCCAGCACCCAGGACAAGCGGGTGTGGAGGAGGCTAATTGGAGTTAACCGGGCAGCCCTGGAAAGGGCATTTAGTGAGCTGCCTGCTGAGCCAGAGGAGGAGAAATCACAGTCTTCCTCTGACTAGTCCAAAAAGACTTCCTGGAAGAGGTGGCCGGCTGTTCCGGGACATTCCAGGCAAAGGTGTGACCAGGGAGAAGCCTTGGGGATAGGGAGAGGGGGCCAGAGAACCCACAGGGCACATGTGGGCAGTAAATGAGGAGAAGGCCAGTAGAGAGAGATCCAGCTCCCACCCCAGCACCCAGACAAGGATCTGGTCTCACTAAGCAGTGTGCCTGGGTGATGGGTAGAGATGGGCATGGCTCTATGGGTTCTCTGTGCCTCCCTTGGGTAGAACCAGATGGCAAAGACCCAGGTCCTATAGGTCTACACAAACCCCCCAGGGCGTTGTGCCAGATTGGCCTGATCTGTGAGTTTCTCACTTGCCCAGGATGACTGGGAACAGCCCCATAAGGACTCAGCCTCCCGCTCCAGCCCAGCCCCTTCCATCCGAAGCACCATGTGGACGGTCTTCCTGAGCATTCCCCACTGGCCCTGGGCTCTGCTGCCACCTGCAGTGATGCGAACTTCACCCAGCACCCACGA